TACAATCTTTGATTTTTCACAGAATATTCATAGATATTAGCATGGAATCTTGTGGAAGGTTAAAAAGGATGGGCCTTAACCCTGATTGGAGGGTATTGTTTAGATTATTATTTAAGTATTTATATTACCTACTTTTCTTTAACAAGAAACACAACAAATCAAGACAAACTGGTATTTTTACCAGTATATTACAATTTTATCTTATCATATTACAATTTTATTAATTGGACGTAAATCAAAAAGGATCCATCCCAAAAAAAGTTACTTTTGAGATATAGACAATTGAAGTTTAAACTGTATTTGCATGTTGATGTAACATGTTTGTGTATTATATTTTTATCTAATAGCATAGAAAACTACTTACATTATCTTATTATAATGTCATTTTAACTGAACCATCAGTAGTTATTAAAATATAAAGGTTAAAGTATCTTTGGATCCTAAACAATTCTCAAAAACGATCCAAATGAAGAAATAATAGAATAATTAACTGAAACACCAAAATTTAATTATAAAAACTATTTATCAAAGGTTCTTTATATTTATTGTTTTTAATTTTTAATGTCAAATGTATTCTCACTACCTAAAATTACCTTCCTACTTACATTTAAACAAAAATTATTCAAGCGTTTTGATAAAAAAAAATACAATAAAGGTAATTTTTAACCAAGATTAGTGCCTTTAGTTTGCTATTTTACTATATGGAACCAAGAAGTTTGAGTCGTTTTCATGGAACTTAAATATGAAACTACCAAAGATGTGGGATGGTAACTACCATTGAAAAAAACTTCAAATATTTATAACAGCTTTTTTCCTATATGAAAGTATAGTTCCTAATGGACATTTTGGTATACTTAACTCATTTTCAACCAATTTGTGGATTGGATCCTTTTTGTGTAACTACGTCCAATTTATATAAAGGCTAGATTTCCAAAATTATTTGGTACTGCACTTGCCCTAGCAACAGAGGGCAAATACCTGTATGCCAATTCTGCTAACGTTTACGTAAGAACCTCGACTATTTGCATTTTGCCTTTGTACTATCTACTCGAGGTCAATATTATTAGTGCATTGTCTTCCTCACAAATCAATGGTGATATATAATATAGGACTTTAGGAAGATAAGTAGACAAACTGCAAATAGTTGTGATTCTATTGAGATGCGATTATTACGTAAACATTGACAGAATTGGCATGTTGAGCTTCATATTATACGATAAATCGTCATGGAACAAACGTCTACAATATAAAACAAGCAGCGCTAATTGCATCTGATCAATGTGATAGGCAGAAACCATTTTCTGCCTAGAAACAGACCCAGACCCCATGGTCTGTCGTCTAAAATCACTCTATGGCTATACAATGCTTTAATCAGACGACAAATAACGTATGGCGCGGTGGCCTGGTGGTCCAGAGCAAAACTAGTAACTACCATAGGTAAAAAAAATCTAAAAGTTCCAGAGAGCAGCTTGCTGCACCAACACTGCGAACCACGCTTACGGCAGCGACGTAAACGGGTCCGAAGTAGAGAAGTTCATAGGATAATTCTGGATGAAATTCCAAAACAATATATTTTCGAGAAAAAGTAAAAAATATCGTTGGAAAAATCCGACAAAGACTGCCCCGGCATAAAGGAGCTTAAGGTAAATACATACAGATTAAAAACCGATTATGGTACTGAAGCTGGCACATACTTACCTGAGCTTTATTATACATATACCAATGCCCTCAGGGTCAAAACCAAAAATCTTTCAATCGAGGCGAGGAAGGTAGAACAAAACGAAATAAGAATCCTGTCGGACAGTACACTCTGGACCAATCTACCAATGTCACAACGGTCAACAATAACTAGTCGTGACAAACAAAGTAAAGTTGGCAACGATGCTGCGGACAAACTTGCCAGGAGGGTGTCTAGGTCACCACCAACAGGCCGGGCGAGGGGTATCCTGCCTTCTTGCCGAAATTTTTTTTGCGGATTATCACTTGCCAACCAACGGATCGCCTGATTTTCACTTTGACAACTAATGATTGTCAAATTTTTGTATGTTTCATTTGGTAGAATTATTGTTAAGCTCATTATTGTAATGACAGAACACGTTCCGGGCACTTATCATTTATCAAATCCTTCACTAGGCCAGACAACTTTTAGACGAATAACGTTTCGTCTGTATAACAGTACCCTTTTCGTACATTTATATTATGATATAAAATAAACTAATTTCGATATGCAATTTTTATTAAAGAATTACAAAAAAAAATTAACACTTCAAATTAGCAGCAATGCACATTAATAATTTTTCAAGTGAATATGAAGATTTGTGTTCAAGAATTCTGTTGATTCTTTCGTCTTTGTCTAAGTATTTTTTTTTCTTGGGTTCTGGTGGGGCACCTGTTAATATATTTTCTATTTCCCCCTCGTTGGCAACGGTTTCCTTTATTAATTGTTTTATCAATTCATAAACACCTAGGTGATTTTTATCAATAATATTGTTTATTTTGTTATGCCAGGCTTCGGCCGAGTTCTGTGTTCGTGGTATATTCATCTTGTTTGTTTCATAGCAGCTCCAAAATCTAGGCTGATATTTAGGTCGTGTGGTTGATGTTCCGTGTACATAATTGTTTTCGAACCAATGCGCTAATTGTTGCCAATCTGGATCTTTCAAACTTTTTAAGACACTTTCGAAATATACGTATATTTCAGATTCCTCAAGAAAACTGAGTGCTAACAAACACTTCACCTCTTTATTAAACTGGATGTCGCTTGCATATCTTTTGGCGAAACCCTGGTCTTGAACTTGCCTGAAATAAATAAAAACTTGTAATAAGTACATATAACAACAAAAATTTATATACCATTTGCAAAATTTCAAAGTGCGGAACGTAGTTGAGGTGAAATCGTAAGAAATCGGTTAGGTTAGGTTAGAACTGCGACCAACAACGCACGAGCCGAGCGAGCGAAGCGAGCGTGCTGCGGCAGCGGCCGGCGAAGTGCCAGAACCGAATCGCTTTACTACACAGGGCACTTAAATATTAGCAACATTAGAAAAATAATTATGGAAAAAAAATACAATAATAACAACGTCCACCTGTATATGATTTGTCCCAAATGAAAATGACATCCTTGTAAATAAACTTCTTCAAAAATTGAACGAAGACTTAGTATAGCAGCTTTTTCAAAATCTAACACACATACTTTTGGTGATAGATTAATACCGTGTTCTTTGCCGTATTCAATTAATAGTTCAAACATTGTATCATATGTGCGTTTATCTTTATTAGTGCACAAACAAAAGCATAACGGAAATGTTTTTTTATTGTCCGTAAGAATATTCCCATGTATGGTATATAGCTGCTTGAATATATTGGGCGCAACTTTAAAAGTGCCACCTAAAAGCCAGTATGTCGCACGACTGAAAATTGATATCATATTTAGTGTGGATATCAGCAAAATCCTTTTATTCCTATCGAATGTATGATCTTTTATGATAAAATTTTCGTTTTTAATATTTGTGTATGTGCTGTTTATCTCAAAAGTAATATCAGTGGGCTCTTTTATAGCATTTTGTTTTCTTATATGGCGATAAATTACTTGTTTTAATGCAGACGTGGACGGCAACATTCTAAGACATTCGTGGACACAGTGCTTTTAGCATTTTGTAATATTTTACATGTCTTTAACGAATAACTTTTTAATTTTTCTTTGAATTCGCTTACGCATTTCCTGGTTGGATCGGGCTCATGGTTGTGATTATCCTGACACTTTAACACTTCGTGAATACTGTCACATAATTTCGTGCTTACAGTTGCAGCACAATTATATATCTTGTTTCGTCGCAGTTCGCAACTCCAATAAAAAATATTATTCGATTGTTTGCTCTTTTCGTACGTAAATCCATTTTTAAATAACTTAACTCCGCCTCTTGAAGTATTAAAAACAGAGCGCTCATCATTAAACTCACTCATTATTATTTTACACAAATAACATATAACACAGTAACAGTCCACACGCAATGAATTTAACACTTATCGCCTATGAGTCAATTTATTTGTACCTTCCTACATTGTCAGTTTACGCTTACCCACATTATATTACATAGTTAGTTACTAAACGAAACCTTCCTTAATATATTATTTGGTAAACAATTTGGTGTAGCTCGGTGGCGTAGTGGATAAGCGCCGCGGCCCGCGATCGTAGTCGTTAAGCAACTCTCGCAAGGGTCGGTCACGGGATGGGTGACCAAAAAAAAAATTATCTCGAGCTACTCCGTGCTTCGGAAGGCACGTTAAGCCGTTGGTCCCGGTTGCATTTGCAGTCGTTAATACCCTCCAATCCGCATTCGGCCAGCGTGGAGGGTCATGGCCCATCCTCCTTAACCATCCATAAGGAAGGCCTGAGCCCCTGCAGTGGGGACGTAAAAGGGCTGGTGGTGGTGGTGGTAAACAATATATAACTAAATGAATATTACTCTATCTGAAACGTTCGCTACTTGAAAGTTGGCCTTGTGAAAAGTGTCATTATAAAAGCCAGACCAAACGTACAGTTTGGCAAAAGTTAAGTTGGGAAATAAAACATAACTGAGTGATATAGTTGGCAAATGATTATTCGGCGAAATAAAATTCTGCGAAACGTCGATTGGCAAACGATGATCTGCCAGACGATTTTCGCCGAAAAGGCAGAGAACCCGGGCGAGGGCACGGATAAGGTCGCGTACGTTTGCGCAACAGAAACAACGATGGGCGCAAGCGGTAAACTTTCGACAACCAAGAGAAGCCAAAACTAGCCGAGTCACCACTATAATGAAAAAAAAAATCACTATACATATTTATCACCGACCACTTCACCGTCCGCTCGGAATCGGATCCGACGGGACTCTTAGATATCGGTCAATTTATACAAGGAGATCGATATCGATAATGAAATCACCGAAGAATCAAAAATAATACTTTATTATTGAAAATAATCTCCGACGGCTTCGCCGCACAATAAACAGTATCGCTCGTCACACGGGCAGCGGGGGCGGGCGCAGCAGCTTGGCGCGGTTGTAGGCGAAGACGCCGAGGCCCGCCAGCGCCATCCCGGCGAGGTTGAGCGGCGTGGCGGGGTTGCGCAGCACCAGCAGCGACGCCGCCACCACCGCGGCGCGCTTGGCCGCCGACGCCACCGCGTACGCCAGCGGCGACACGCGCGACAGCACGCTGAACGCCAGCACCGCCTGCAGCCACGCCAGCGCGCCGTCCGCCAGCAGCAGCGCGCCGCCGCCGCCGCCCCAGCCGGCCCGCGGCGCCGCCCCCGCCCACAGAGCCGCGCCGTCCGCCGCCGCCCACGCCGGCAGGAACAGCAGCAGCGCCAGCCGGCCCAGCGCCTGCAGCAGCCGCAGGTGGTGCACGCCCGTGTCGCGCATCACGCGCTTGGAGTACAGGTGCTGCAGGCTCAGCAGCGCGGCGGCGGCGAGCGCGGCGGCGAGGCCGAGCGAGTCGAACCGCAGCTCGGTGGCGGACGCGACGGCCACGCCCAGCGCGATCAGCACCAGCGCCGCCTGCACGCGCGCCGGCTGCCGCTCCCCGAACAGCACGCGCGCCAGGCCCGCCGTCCACAACGGAGTCGTCGCTTTCACTGAAATGCGTTCAGATCTGAATGTCGCGCGCGAATATTATCTTTATTTCGAAACGAAACGACTCCTCCGCGTATGTTGATTCGAAGCTTCGCTCGATGAGACACTTTTATTCTTAAACGAGTTTCGCGTGTGTGCGATACTATACGCTTCTCGCAGGAAGACATTTAAAGGTTACGTTTACATTATTTAAATAATGCTCAGGGTTCCTTCGATACGATCGTTTTGGTATCGAGGATAATTTAAACACATCAGTAGAGATGCCCCGAATAGTGGTTTCGAATACCGAATAGTATTCGGTTTAACTTTTACCGAACCGCAGATTCAGCTGAAAATAAGTCGCTTTTGAGATAATTATTATTTATCCCATTCTATATTTGAAAAAGAAAATTAATGCATTTTAGTGATATTGATACTTTTTATATAATAGGAATGGAGATTATGTTTCTTTGCTCGACATCATTTTTTCCAATAATTTATACTCATATTATCGGATAGACTCGGAAACTATTGGACTGATTATAAAATTCATTCACCAACAGGAAGCTACACAATACGCTCGGTTTATGCATATTATCTTGATGATTATGAACCCTGTTATACCTTAAAGACCATTTTAGCAACAGAGTGTGAGGCCATAGAAAAATTAATTTAAAGTACAGCATGTAGATAAAGGCAATCACCAGAATTAAACTGTTATCAATCACGAGTACTAATTTTATTGTTTAGATAAGATGTAGGTAAAAAAAGGTAGCTTATCGTGGACAGGGGTGATGTTGGTGTCATACTGTTGTACCACTCTTTTAACATAATTATTTTGTAATCCAAGAAATAAAATTATACTCATAATATGCTACTAACCAAATTTAATCTAGTTTATACCAATAGCATTTACTATTGCTCTTTTACACTACCATTATTGAATTACTTATTGATAAATCTATTAGTTTGATTTCTTCCAAGAGGTTACCTGTATGAGCATATGAAATTGGGACTTTCCATATAGAAACTTGAGAGCAGACTGTAGTGAGGAACTTGGCAAAGGCAAGTGGCACCAGCGTACGCCAATAATAGCGACGAGGAAACTCTGTCTCTCGACGCACACGGCACAGAGCGAACGCTGGAGGGCTATACACGACGATTGATAACAGTTGCACCATAGTAACCGTCATAGGATACGGGAAATCTGTCAACACCACCTTTCCCGCCACGTTGCTGGCCGAGCTAGTAGCGTACCACGCTAGGCACAGGCCTACCACAATCAGCGCCTCGCGCTGCGATGCGTCCACATCGATGACTCCCATGGCTTTCAAAAGATTATCACAGACATCTTCGAAACATTTCTTGACTTATTTTATTAAACATTGTGCTGATATTGGTACGATTTTCAATATAAAATCATTTCTTCACATTCAGCACAATAATTATTTAATTGTAATTATACTAATTATAGATCTCGCTTAGCATTTTTGAAACATAAGTTTTCTTATTTAATTAATTAATTATTTTTAATAAAACAAAATATTAGGTAACGTAACATGTACTCATTTTGATTGACTGACACATGCATGACGTGACAATGACAATCATCTGTCGTTAATGACAGTGAAATTTCTTCTTCTTCTTTTTTAATTCATGGCCTATTTGCATTTACACAACTCCGCCAATGTCACGTTTGTGGTCTTTACACGTATAGAAACAATAATAAAATACGTCTATAATGTTGCATTTTCTTTATGTTATTTTACTAAAGCTGAACATATTTTTACCCTCCAATCCACATTGGTCCAGCGTGGTCATGGCCCATCCTCCTTAACCATCCATAAGGAAGGCCTGAGCCCCTGCAGTGGGGACGTAAAAGGGCTGGTGATGAACATATTTTATCTGCATATTCTAAGAAATAAACTTTATTAGATTATTATCTAACAGGATGACCAACTAGTTGAATACGCAACTTATTTTTAATAGTGTCAAATACCCTACTCCTCATTACATTAGTGTTTCATAAATAGTCTGTTGCTCTTACTCTTTGGTAATAAGTCTGTGATTCTCTATGGATTTAATTAATTTACTCATTTATTTTATTTACTCTTTGCTGTGATTAAAAAAACTGTCTTCATCTACACAATAGAAAGTTTTAAAATTAAAGTAATAGTTTGTATGTGTACCTAAATTCGTTCTTACGATATTGTTATATACTGCAAATATATTATTACTTTTTGCACGTCATAATTGTAGTTCTGCTTAAATTTTAACAACTTTAGTGTTAAAATACTGAGTCGACGCAAGAATAGCACTTCAGTTTTACTGTCGTTCGTCGCTTTACGTTTTACCTGCATCAAGGTGTGTATTCCTGTTTATGAGATCACCGATTGAAGTCAAAGTAACGTTTCATATAATTCGACAATTGAGGAGTGGGAATCTGTATAAAAAGTGCTCTACTCAACAAACTCTGCTCAGGTACTCCTCCCATTAGTTTTTATTTTATGCTATTAATTCATTTCATGAATTTCTTATCTCAAATATCAATCACGCTCGTATCAATATACGTTATCTACACTATTGGAATGAAGATATTGTAACTATATTCAGTTGTCAGGTATAATAGTAATTTAAGATACTTTCAAATGTAATATATAAGTATGTGAAAGTATGTGCTGAATAAATAAAAATCATCCACAAAATAATTATTCCTTTTATAAATTTTAAGTTATAAGTTTAAGTTCTAATGCCATATACATATTAAATTTTTCAGTGGAAGTTATAACTTTCTACGCAAGACTGTCCAGTGTCCTCTATAGCATGCCCTTATAACCTGTTATAATTTTTTTGCTTCTCATTCACAGTAGCAATTCTGTAGTAAGCTATTAATCCAATGTAAATGACTATGAAAGTCTAATCCCCATGTATTCTGTCTATATTCATCTTGTGGCTTGTCTTATTTTTGTTGGTCTTCAATCTATTTTTAACTTTCAGATGCAATATATATATTTTTATATTGTGGTGACATAGCTTTATTCATATACAACTTTAATTTTATTATATTATTATGATTTTGGAGGAAAGGTGAAGCCATTTGGAGGCCCCTAGGCCTCCTGAAGGCTCGGGGCTCACCACCCCCTCCACTCCCTCCATAGTCGGCAACTGTAGTGGCTATATTTTATCAATTTTTCATTCAAAATTCTGTACTGATGTAAATTTTCCATACCATGAAATTAATTTCCCGTGAAAAATGTTTACTAAATTAAATTAAGATGGTACTGACACCCACAAACTTTTGTAATCTGGGCGACTACTTTAATTAAACTATACATTAGTTTAGATAATTTTGAAATAAATAAAAGAAAATAGGTCACAGCCATGTGGTTAAATCAGCCATCCAAATAGGCGGCTAGCCATTTAATTAAATAGCACCATTCAATTGCATAGCGGACCTTTGATCAGCCGAGTAGCCAATTAAATAAATAGGATTAGAAATGAAACATGATCCTTAAAGATCCTGATAATAAATAATATTAACCTGTATTTTTAGAGTTACGGGATCATTTTACTAATCTGTATAACTCTTGGTAACCCAGTAGTTAAGGTTTAAAAGAATTTTCGAGTTATATTGATAAAATAATTGTCATTTAATTCTGATAGAGATTGTGAAATCGCGAATGAAATCAAAGACAAGAAAATACACACTTTTTTACATGCTTATTTATTTACGTTTTAGTGTGCAGAAATAAAAGCTAGTTTAAAAAAAAAATAAAAATTTTTACTTTCGTCTCAATATGTTGTTGTTCTCATAAAGACAGATCTAAAGAGCTCAAGTAGGATGCAGTTGAATTATTTCATCGCTCAGTTCCCATGACCATTTACCAGCTCTATCATCAGCAGACCTTAGCCTCGAAAGCATTCAAGACCGAAGTTCTCATAAAGGCGGATCTAACGAGCCCAAACATGATGCAGTCGCATCATTTCATCACCAAATTCTTATTCACCTTCCACCATCACCACCTACCGACTTCATCACTATATTCGCTTACCGACGTTATAATATTGTCATCTGACATACATGTCTATGCTAAATTTCAAATCTCTCGGACATCGGGAAGTGGGTCAAATTTGAGTTCCAAGATTTTACTAACTAACATACATATTAACGAGGCAAGTTAACGATGGCTCGTAAAAAAGCTTATAAGAAAGTAGTCCGATACACATTCTGCATCTTTCTATCCGAACTATATAAATATATTAACGACGAAGAGGGACTCGTTAATATCGATTCGGGAACGACACGACCCGTATAATAGGAAGAAAATCCATCAGGGACACCGTTCGGGCGGCCCCGACGAGCGGGCGGGCGGGCGGGGGGGCAGAGTCGGTGATGCCGCGATGGCGTCGCGGCGCGTGACGCGCAAGTGGGAGGTGTTCGCCGGCCGCAATCGGTTCTGGTGCGACGGCCGCCTCATGACGGCGCCCCACCCGGGCGTGTTCGTGCTCACGCTCGCGCTCATCTGCAGCACGTGCGCGCTGCACTTCGCGTTCGACTGCCCGTTCCTGGCGGCGCGCGTGTCCCCCGCCGTGCCCGTCGCGGGCGCGGCGCTGTTCCTGTTCACGATGTCGGCGCTGCTGCGGACCGCGCTGTCGGACCCGGGCATCATCCCGCGCGCCGCCGCCGCCGAGGCCGCGGCGCTGGAGGCGGGCGCGGGCGCGGGCGGGGGCGGGGGCGGGGGCGCGGGCGCGGGGGAGGCGGGCCGGCCGCCGCCGCGCGCGCGCGAGGTGCTGGTGCGCGGCCGGCCCGTGAAGCTCAAGTACTGCTTCACGTGCAAGATGTTCCGGCCGCCGCGCGCCTCGCACTGCTCGCTGTGCGACAACTGCGTGGACCGGTTCGACCACCACTGCCCGTGGGTGGGCAACTGCGTGGGCAAGCGCAACTACCGGTACTTCTACACGTTCGTGGTGTCGCTGTCGTTCCTGGCCGTGTTCGTGTTCGCGTGCGCGGTGGCGCACCTGGCGCTGGAGGCGCGCGGGGCGGGGCTGGGCGCAGCGCTGCGCGCGTCGCCGGCCTCGGCGCTGGTCGCCGCCGTCTGCTTCCTCTCCGTCTGGTCCGTGCTCGGCCTCGCCGGCTTCCACACGTACCTCGCCTCCACCGACCAGACCACCAACGAAGACGTGAGTCGCTCGCCCGGTCGTTCGTTTCGCGGACCTCTCGATGCGCTTCCCTCTCTGTCATCGCGTTCTGTTCGCAGATAAAAGGGTCGTTCTCGACGCGGCGCGGCGTCTCGAACCCGAACCCGTACTCGCGCGGCAACGCGTGCGCCAACTGCTGGCACGTGCTGTGCGGGCCCCTCGCGCCCAGTCTCATCGACAGGTGAGTCGACTTCAGATCGCGCCCCTCGTGTTGAGAAAGAGAACACCGCTCGGTCGACCGCGAACTTGTAGAAGAAAAATCTTGTGAATCGTCGCCGGTTCGGTTCCCCAGATGTCGTTCGACGACCGAACCCGATGTCGAGTTGTACCGATAAATTTTCGATAATTTGGAGAATTCACACTATCGGGTGTAGAGTGAGCGAGATCATTTTTTTTATGTAAAAAGCGAAAACTGAATATCGCCCCGATGGCCTATACTCTGAATCTAATTAAATATTTTGCGTTAGCGAGCTCGATTTCACATACACGCCCCCGTCGACGTCATCGGAGGGCCAAAACGTTTATGTATATATATATGGATACGTATCGTTGGACCTTGCTATGAAATAAAACGGGGCGAAGAACTCTGGAGTTGTCGAGTTTCTTGTCGGTTTGTGTTGGTTCCCAACCAGTGGTCCACAGAAGTACAAATACGGTCGGCGAATAATTTTAAATTTAGCGCGCAGTGAGCCGTTTTAGTTCGACAATGAGGAAGTATTTAAAAAAACCATTAGTTGCCGAAATTGAACTAGATGTCGCTACGGTACTTTCTTGATTTCTCCATGACAACCCTTCCTTTGTCTTTCATGTCTAAAAGTAAATTAGTTTTCAAAACTCAATACAGAACTCATTTTCTATTTGTAGCTCTTCGTATTTGTATTGATATTTAAGTTTCGAACTTTGCGAATTTCAATTTTTTACTATGTTAGTTAAAAGGAACGGAAATGACTATCTTTGGTCCATTCGTATCCTGCAAAAATCTACTTTTGCTAGAGTCGCCATCTAGAGGAGGTGCTTTTTTGGTGCTTTCTTTTTATATTTAAATACTTCCTCATTCACGCGGCGGCTTGGAAGAGCGCGGGTGGCGGGGGCGGGACGCGGGACTCGATGAAGGTGCTACACGCTGCTTACGATTCAACTTGTAAAGTGCGTGTGCAAAGAATAACCTACGATTTGCGCTGTCATTCATTTGTTATATTTGAGTGTCAGGATTAGTATTTAGTATTACTATCTGTGCGAGGAAGTGAATCATTCATTACTGACCGTTATTCTTAACTTTATTTCTTGAATATGTTCGAAAATAATATAATAGGTAAGTGAACATTTTGTTTTGATAAACCCTTTTTGTAGGTATTTAAAATGATCGTTAAATACGGGCCAAACATTTTCAATGCGTCTATTTTTGTTTATTTTTTAGCGGGATCGTGCCAAAGTAGTATATTGTTTGAAAACTAAAACAACTTTGGATATTATTTCAAAATTACATAGCTATAATTTTAATTTAATCTAGCTTACACGATCATTTTAAGATAGGTACCTAAACTTACACTATTTTTTTTGTTTCTATTCGGTTTAATTTTTTATGTTCTATTTCCATAACATGGCGCCTATGAGAAAATATGACAATATTTATATAAAATTTGGACACGAGGAGCGACTGATTTCAAGAATAAAAAAGTCGACTTTTTTCGCCTTGCAGTTTGATGAATCGATCGACATTTCAAATTGTTGTCAATTACTTGTATTTGTTCGCTTTGTATATATTTTGAGAAACACAATCTTATGTGGGATAAACTCGTTGCCCTCTGTACTGATGGTGCTCCAGCCATGTTGGGATTACGTTCAAGGATGACAACGTTAGTAAAATAGAAAAATCATAAGGTAATAACAACGCATTGTATCATACATCGCCGGGCGTTAACTTCTAAGACTCTTCCTGAATGTCTTAATGATGCACTGAAAATTGATATAAAAGTTGTAAATTATATCAAAAGTAGCGCCTTAAATACACGCCTTTTTAAAAACTTATGCACTGAAATGGACTCTGACCATGAGGCATTTCTCTTGCACACAGAAGTTCGATGGCTATCGAAAGGTAATATGTTGGGAAGATTGTATGAACTAGAAGAGGTTGAGATTTTTTTTGTTGACTAAAATTGAATGATTTGTTCACTTATTCAGCATGTCAAATGAATTTGGCTTATGTTGTGGATATTTTCACACCCTTAAATAAATTAAATATACAACTGCAAGGTTCCGGAAATAAACAATTAGAAAACGTCGCAAAAATATTTATTTTTGAAGATAAACTTCGCGCTTTTATTTGCAAAGCTCAGTCGTGGTTACGTAAAATTGAAGAAAATAATTGTTCTGCAATTAAAATAAAAGCACTTGTGGAAGACAAAAACAATGAAATCCAGGAAGAACTAATTGAATTACAAAATGACAGAAACTGAAGGGTGCTTTTGAATCGAATTCACTTGAGTAGTTTTGGTATAAAAAAGCAATTTCTTATGTTAAACTTCGAGAAATCGCCTTGCGCTATTTTATGGTATTTTCAACATCGATTTAGTAGAGAAAAACAAATCGAGGAATCGTTTGAAAGTAAGTAACAATATTATTCCTAGGATAGCTGAACTCGTGAAGAAAATGCAAGCTCAGAAATCACATTAATACAAAATTACAGAAGTTTATAATATTATTATTTCTAGTTATGTAATATCCTATTGATTTGCTAATAAAAAGTTTCAGTTTGATTATTACAGTTTATTTTTATTATACTTACATAGTGGTCCCTGCTAACAAGAATAATATAAAAGTGGTCCTGACCTAAGAAAGGGTTGGGAACCCCTGGTTTAAGGCGATGGCATAATATTTCAACATTCACGACACAAGTGATCGCAGCAGCCTACACTGAATAAACAAGTTTGGTTTGGACCGATCCATGAAATGATAGGTTTACAAGGGACCGAAGAAAAGTCGTGAAAATTCCGTTTGTTTTTATTTACTATTTTACATTTATCCTCGTTTTATTTTCAACCGACGAAAAAAAAACGGAGGAGGTTATAATTCGACACGTATTTTGTTTTGGTAGATATATTTTTTTAATTTAGAAAAAATATACAATTCATAGATAACCTACGAGTAGATGAGATAATTGGTAGTTTTTTATGACAAAATAATTGGAAGCGGTTTGGTAAATACCAAAAATTTATAAAATCGAAAAACAAAAAATGACGTATTTTGCATTAGTTTGATTTTCTGATACCTGATGATACTTATATTTTTATATATACTTAATACAGAAAAATTTAAGTGTCAATTTAAGTGTAAAATAATTGAAAAAAGGAACAGACTTTTTAACTTTATAAGAGTTAGAATTATTTTTAATAAAAAATGCTTTCGCCATCCGGGCGACTGCTTTATGGGTTCGAGTCCCATCTCAGAGTGTCAGGAACAAAATAGATTTTTTTTAAACGTTTTTCATTAAGAATATTTTTCAGTGTAGCATCGTGAATGCAAAATTAATCAATTATAATAATTTAGAATTAATTATCCTAAAAGTGGTTTAATTATTCAAGAAACGGCTATTGAAGTCGGGCGGTTTTTTTTTCCTACTACTCTACAATAAGTATAATTTCTCACTTTTTAAAAGTTTAAAGTCGATTCTATTTCAATTCAAACGATCCCAGGAAAAGAAGGCCGAAAGCACTTTAAAAAATATCAATAATATATCTCGGAAGAATGTCGAGATCGATTAATTCTCTGACGATATAGAATTAACCGTATAAGAACTGCTTCATCACGGTGACATTCAGGCGGGGCGTCTTCACCATCGACGTGAAGGATGAGTTGCCGGCGAGCTTCGCGCGCGTCCTCGCCCCCGCGGCCGCCTCCCCCGCCCCCGCCCCCGTCCCCGCGCCCGCCCCCGCCCCCGCGTCGGCGGGCGAGGGCGCGTTGGCGGGGGGCGGCAGCTACACCAACCTGTTCGAGGCGGGCGACGGGCCGGGCCTGGCGCGGCACGCGTACGCCAACCGCAGCCTCGACCTCGACCCGGTGCCGCTGCACGGTGAGTGTCGAGGGGCTCCCGGACCGAGGATAGTTTTACAGCATCGAATCTCATGAATTTTGCAGTTAATTTTTTTGGATGGTCCCATATCCGTTCGCAAAAAGTTTAAGGCGTGACGTATGAAACGTGCGAGTGTTGATTCGTTCGTCGTTCGCAGAGGTGCGGCCGGGGGCGGGCGGGCTGAGCGCGTCGCGGCTGCGGCTGCTGCACGACACCACCATGATCGACGCCGCGCTCGACCTCGACGAGCCCGACCCGCCGCCGCACCTGCCGCACGCGCCGCACGCGCCGCACGCACCCACCGCGCCGCACGCGCCGCACGCCGCGCGCGCCGCCGTGGCCGCGCTCTGACCCCGCGCTAGTCGCGCTAGCGCGTGGCGTCGCCGCCGCCGCCGCCTCCGCCTCCGCCGCCCCCCGGAAGGCCGCTCTCTGCTCCGTCCCGCCGTCGACGATCGGCGTAGGAAGATAGAGACGCGTCCCCGGCGGGACCCGCGGCTCGAGGCGGGATCGCCGAACCGTTCGGACCGGGTGTTCCCCTTCAGCGAACGTTCCGTTGACTCGGGATTCGAGTCCCACGTCTCGTTCTGACGGACCGCGCCCGCGATTCGATCTCCGTTTTGTGAATGTTGTGAATGACCTGTTGATTATAAATGTACAGTGAGTTGCGATTCCGGTGATGAGAAGTGGTCGTAGATTGTGTTTACTTTATTATTGATACTTCGCCGATAAAAGTTATTTAACATAATAAACAGTATTTGAATTCTGATCTTGTTTATTATATTTTGCATTCCCGATTCTATTCTTAATAAAGGATGCTTAAAAATTCCACCAGCCCCGGCACCCTATCTCGGGGTACCTTACCGTCTCGCTTACGATTATCCGTCGATAAATTACTTCACCGTTAAGGGGGACAGAGGGAGTCGACGAAGTATAACATTGTGTGACGAGACGGTGGGAAAGGTTCTAAATTTCGTGATGTCATATTTCAAAATCTATTATAATCTAAATGTTAAAACACGAACTTTAAACATCCGTATGACTACACAATTGAAATAGTTTTCTTATCGACACACAAATAAAACAAATCATAAATTCTAATGCAGAACAGAACGACTCACAGTCGGGGCCCATTCAAATTCTCCGAACAGAGGAGATGAGTCTTGCGCGGGCGGAAGCTCCCGGAGCGAAGAAAAAGGCCCTTCTCAGGGCCAAGGCCCGGTGAGTTCTTTGTTGAGCGAGCTGGATTTTGCTAAAGACCCTCCTAAGGGTCAGCGCATGGCTGGTCGTGGTAGTGGAAGTAGAGGCAAAAATCCTGTGCTTATAATCGGGAAAGTTTCCGGAGAAGTCTCGAAGGAGCTGAGAACTGAGGATTCTCACTCTAGAGACCCGTCTCATTCCAGAGACCCCTCCGTCGAGACTGATAGACCGACTGAGAGGGAGAATGACAGAAGTAGACGTAGTTCCTCTACTGCTGATACGAGTGGCCCGTGAACAAGGCAGCGCTCACGTTCCCGCTCACGATCGCCAAACAGAAGAACAACGCGCTCGCAAACAAGGGCGTTGTCGGTTGCTAGTTCGACATCGTCGCCTGCTCTGACAAAGCTGGACATGACTGACCCATCTACGACAGAGGTTATTATATCCCCCTCACCGTCGTCGTTGATAACAGACCCGACGGAACAAGCAAGTGGAAAGAGTGCTCCAACCCCCTCACTTATCAAATCCATGAGCGGGGTTCATTGATTAAAGGTGCCTCCTCGACGTCTCTGAGCCTGGAGGGTCAAAAGACTACGTCTACGACTACGCCGACCTTACCACCTACCGCTCCCCCTCCCCTGAATGCAGGCTCAAACCTATCATTGGGCAAACGAACGCGCACCAGTTCGGAATCGAGCGAGGGAAGCGGAGGCAGTAACGTAACTCTCAAGGAGCACGCGCACAAGAGACTTGCGGTAGAGGCGTCCCCGATGCGGATCCCGGATGCGTGTGATTCAATACATAGCTCGGACATAGAGGAAAGTAGTACCTTCTTCCGTCGACCTTCACCTTCTCCTCAGCGTAAAAAGGTTCTGGCTGAACATAACGCCGGAATATCTGCGGCTAGAGGAAAAGGTAGAAAGGATTCGGATGCAGAATACGATTGTGATGATGACTATGGGAGTGAAATGAAATGAAAATGTTTTTATTCAAGTAAGCTTGTTACAAGCACTTTTGAATCGTCCAAAAATATTTTATCCCCTACCACTTGTTCAGGACGTCTTATAGCTGACAAGAAGAACAAGCGAAAGAAACTTATTAGCTTTTATCATAAGTAATGACATTTACATAAATCTTGGCATTACCAAAATAATACATATAGTAGGACATAGGTTGGTACATACCTATAATTAATCGTTATAGAACAGAGCGAAGGCTATTAATTCCATGCATTGCGGTCCTTAAAATAATCATCAACTTTATAATAGCCTTCACTCATAAGTATATTTTTTCGAATCGTAATGTTTTCTTGTGTACATAATATTCTCATAGATGTATTGAGAGGCAACAGTCAGAATATTTATTTCTTTAAATATTTCTCTGAGAGATTCCCTAGACCGTAAATTATATATAGCACGGACAGCTCTCTTTTGTAGAATAAAAATATCCTGAATGCTAGCCGCAGAACCCCACAACAATAGACCATACGTCATTACACTATGAAAATAACTAAAATATACCAATCTTGCCGTTTCAACATTTGTCAAAAGTCTAATTTTCTTAACAGCAAAAGCTGCAGAACTCAGTCTACTTGACAAGCTATCAATATATCAAACCGGATATATCGATGGTCCGATAGGTACTCCTCCTCCACAAGTACCCGCCAACCCTCGACTCTGGGCCAATGCAGGGGACGCGAACGTGAGATCGACAATTGAGCCGACAGTTTGCCCGAGATATCTTCTCACGCACGTGATTTCGCGTCCCTTGTTGAGAATTTCAAGCCCAGCAGATGCCGCCCATTCATAAATTAAATCCCCCTCCATTGAGTTTCTGGGGCAACCCCAAGCCGTGTGTTTGGCATTGAAGTCCCCCAGAACCAGTGTGAATTGGGATGCCAAACGCCTCACCCAATCTTCATATTCAGAGAAGGGGCGGGTCGGCGAAAAATACACCCCGCCGATCGTGATCCCCCCCACGAAACTGCAATGTAGTCTGAACTCTTTTCCCTAAACGAAAAGGGGGGCGAAAAAGCAGCAGTGGTGGGGACCACAACTGCGACGGACTCATCCAGATCCGCAATCCAGCGTGTAGATTGCGGAATACTATATGGTTCCGAAACCAGTATGAGATCTGCCCCAACCCTGGCGGCGCTCTGCAGGAGAAGATCCTGGGCGCCCGCACAGTGGTTGACATTACTCTGTATAATGCTTATGGGAACTCTAAGCATCGGTAGAGACGGGAACGACTTCCATGGCCATATCAGACCTTACCTCTGCATTAGTGCCCTTGCTACCAGGAGAGGGCTTAGGACGTATCCTGGGCGCATTGGAGCTTTCCCCCCCATAACGTGTTTGCTATTCCTACCAGCCTCTTCGCAAACAACACATCAGGGGGTAGCGTTGCATGAAGCACGCTTGTGTCCAGGATTTCCGCACCTGAAACAGATGTTGCCCCTATCTGCGTCTTAAAACACCTCATGGGTTGAGGTTCTAATAACTGCACACGGGCACAACTCCAACCAACAAGGAGCCTGCCAATTGCCGCCAATGATTTGGCTGTTGCAACAGGGCAGTGGGCTATGATTGTATGCATGCCTCCTGGGCCCAGCGGGCCTACTTTGACATACTCCTTTTTGCATCCACCCTGTTTGACAATGACCAATGAATTAGCGCTCTATCACTTCGCATCGATATTTGCATGAACATGCAGTGTTTACTACGCCCCGCCCACACACTTACTACTACCAATAACAATCCACTGTCCCTCATGTGTTTACGTTAAGGATTACAATACCTCTAATGCAATTATAACTGAACACTTATAATTGAATATTATTTATTAATTTATTGTTATGACGAAGGCCGATTAAATTGTTTTACGAAAAGTAATGTATTTCCTTCATTTTCCTAATATGAATAAAACTCATTTAATAAAATATATAAATGTTAAAAAACACACATAATACATATATAACACTTATATGACTTTAACAGCATAGCATTCAGAAATCTTTGCTGATACTTAAAAAAGAGATATACTAAAAGCAAACTCGCCGTAATATATTAAAACATAAACAACTTTGAAAATAAATTAAATTTTTGACACAACAATTATTTATTTATTCACTTATCGGAAGACTTACAGCTGATCAATGAAAAGGTAATAAAACTCAAAGTCAATTAAAAGTCATAGCAAGAGAGTAAAATTAGCAAATACGTATTATACGAGTATATAACATACTAAAAATTATACCCACACCTATGCAATTAAACATTATTTTTATTAATAGTAAATTCAAATTAATATAATAAATAACCCTTATTATTTTTTAACGTTGAGAATTGTAAAATTGTACTAATATTATTAAAAAAAAATGTTTTTTTTTAATATTTTTTTTTGTGGATTTCGTTTTTGAATTTAATATTTTTTTATTTATTTTTTATTTAAGTATTGCTTTATATAAAACTGTGAAACTGAAAAAATGGTTTCATATGGAATCGACTAATCAATTTTGTATTATGTATTTTAAATACACTTTATTTTTAACAAAATTGATTTGTTTTTCTCAGTAAATAAAAGTATTATATATGTCGCATCATCATTACGAAGATCGTTTGAATTAGTTTCTTTTATTTTAATTGCTAGTTACTCGATTACTTAAATACTCGATTGTAAAGAGAGCGTGATCATCGATACCCTTAATTTTATTAGAATGGTGACACTGACTTTGACAGTTCGTTAATAAAAAGCAAGTGGCCGCCATTTTGGCACACATTCTGTTTCCGATCGCCGAGGAGTAAAGACATCCGATGACATCACGCTCATCTCGTTATATTTTCGTAAGAAAAGTGATGAAATGGAACAAATCCACGTTGGTATACACGCCTGCAGTGTTATTTTAAAGATAGTCCTCCGATATGGACGATCTATTTGGGCTTCGTAATAGCCCCTTCGGACTACCCGCCGTTATATACAAGATGCATTTAAAATGACTCTCCAAATTTTTTCTAGGCATTAGGTATCGTTAATAGATCACATATATGAAAAAAAAACAGTATGTAAAATTTTCAAAATGAAGTGTAAACTTTTTGTAATTACAAGATAATTATAACATTCGCATTGTCACATTAGTTATGAACGAAACGAGCAGGGGTAGCAAGGGGCGCGGGCGCAGGGGATGCACCGCGCATGCACCGCCGACGATATCTGCTCGGTTTTTTATTTAGTCGGCAACATCAGTCACCCGCGCACAATCCCTTTGAACGCACTTGCTTCCGCCTTTGCTTCCGTG